GCTCTGCCACTGCACCTCATGCAGCAACAGGTAACGCAGGCACAAGGCCCCCTCACCGTACTGCTGCTCAAACATTTTTGAACACTACCTTGTTGACTTGCATGGAATGTATAATTCCCTTTCTATGATGAATTATATAAAATTGTGTGCATTTAAAGCTATTTACATTTAGGTAAAGTTATTTAAAGGTCCCCTATCATGCAAAATGCACTTTTTTATATCTTTTATACATAAATATGTGTCCCCGTTGTGTCAATAGACACACACAAAATACAACCCTCTCTCTTTTCCTCCTCACTCACATCTCTAAAAACGGGGGTACAATGGAGCTGATCCAGATTTGCTGCTGATACTACGTTATATCGGAAATGTTGGTTGGCTTTATCAGAAACGTCGCTATCAGAAACAATGCGCTATTTTGGAAGTAATATGGTCTGTGTTTACATTAGCAAGCATCGCTAACACTCCGAGCTAACGCTGTACTGGAGAGAGTATGTGTAAAAAAGCAGGAAATAATAAAAGGAACTCACCTTGTGCTAAACCCCTGAGAGAAAAAGCATTTGAGCTCCATACTGTTTCAGAAATAATCCTTCATGTGGTTTGGAACATAATATGGTGTTTCATCACGGCAGCATTTAGCTGAGTTTCTGGGTAGAATTCTCCTGCATGAGCTCTCGCCTCGGCTGAATTAGAAGGGTATGAGGCATGGCTAGGGGGTGATCTGTTTTGTATTTTGAGCAAAACACTTCATAGACCTGCTTTTATATATCTGAGACCTATAATATATGCCTACAAATAGTATAAAAGGAGTGCACTAATCCTCCTGGAGTAGTAGTATAGTTCTGTGGCTGTGTGCTCACTTTGTACCCTGTCTCTCCTGACACATCAGGTCATGGCCGTAGCAGGCCTGGACTCCAGCAGAGCCCACCGCCTCTCCCCAGCCCGCTCCACCCGCTCCTGGGCCACGCCCCCCGCCACTCCGGGCAGTAAGGACCAGTCGCCATACTACACCCCTCTCATCCGAGTGGACCAGAAACACAGGGGGAGCGTCGCCAGCAGCCAAGTGTCTGTGCGCAAGAGCTCCTGGTACACGGACGACCCGGAGTTCTCCCAGAGGACGTACTCCCCCGTCCACCTGCAGGTGCCTCCGGAGTTCCACAACCAGTACCACCAGAAGAGAGGCAGCGCCACCAGCCTCGTGGAAGCGGTGAGTTTAAGGATTGGTTGAAGGAGGAGAGGCGTGACTGACCAAATAAAGTTATCTTTGCCATCAAAAAGTGTCCCTACTATTTCGCGGCAACAGTTTTTCGACAGGTTGAAATATGGGTAGAGGTCAAGGGATTGTCAGGTTGTGAGTGTCTGTAAACCAGTGTATGCAAACACTTTTATTTGTGCAGCTATTGTGAATATGCGTTTTTCTGTTGAATACAAATGTGACAAGCAAGATAAGTCAAACGAGATTGCAGAAATCCACAGTTATATATTTCTTTCCTCTCATTCTGTGGAGCAGGTTTTGATATCAGAAGGGCTTGGGAGGTATGCCAAGGATCCCAAGTTCGTCACTGCCACAAAGCACGAGATTGCAGATGCGTGTGAGATGACGATAGATGAGATGGAGAGTGCGGCCAGCCACCTGCTGAACGGAGGGATGGCCCCGAGCGCCAACGGGGTCAACGTGTTCCCCATCCTGACTCCAAGGGACTATGACCTGCAGGACACTGCAGCCAGCTACAGCGACGAAGAGCCAGAGACAGAACCTAGAGCTCCTTATGAGGAGGACCTGGCAGACGAGATGATCTGCATCACGACTTTATAGCAGTGGCTGAAGAAAACTGCAACGTAGAACTTTAACAGACTACTATCAGTGGAAATTTAAAAAAGAAATGCATCTGTTGGCTCTGACCAAAAGAAGTGCCTTTTACATTGGAGAGAAAAGGCATATAGAAGAGAGACACATTAGTCCTGTTCATTTAATTGTTCTCCACCTTCCGGCAACGGAGGTCACTACAAAGAGCCAGAAACCTGTTGAGGGAATGGAGGTGACGAACCGGTTCAGCCTGCAGCCAATCAGAGATGAGGACATTGATACCAGTGAAAGATGGACCAATTGGCAAAGGTATGAGATACTCTCTAAGGGTGATGACAATCAGATGTACGATGTCATTACCTCGGTCACTTTATTAAGGTTTGGCATATCATGCAAGTTTTCAATGCAAGCATAGAAAGGCATATCTCGTCCCGTAGTTCCTACTTGTTCCCTTTGTTGTTTTAGTGCAGACCGTTTAATGATCGCTACAGCTGAGTCAAAAAAGTGAAGAGCACCAGTAGAGTCGTACCAGATTATGCAGGAACTAACTGTCCTACTTATAGCATCACTCAACTTGAGATATGTACTTTTGAAGCGACAAAAGCATTTGTGATAAATGCACTAGCAGGCAGGTTATTTTCAAATGTTAGAATATCCTGATTAATATTTCCTAGTTGATATGCTGTAAATTGTATTATATAACAAAAGAAACTTTGTAAAGAGATATTCTATATTTTGTAATTATGTATCATTTAAAAGATCAGCAATATGGACCCTTGTGACTCCTGTAATGCTATAAAAGCAGACTTTTTTTATTTGCCTTTTTTGCTAATATGCACCCTTTTTTTGCCTATGAAAACAGCATTTTTAAGAGGTTCTGCTTGTGTGACAACACTACTGCACAAGATATGCAAATGGCTTTGATTTCTTAGCTTAGGAGAACACGTGTTACTTCATTAAACCAACACCAGTTGCATAAGGTTAAGCCCCCTTTAAAGGAGCATTTTTAGGATCCAGCGCTGAAATTTTATACCGATGTGATGAACACCTTTGTTTGCATATTTTGTGCAGGGCATGCACAAGAATTTAAGATGCATAGTGCATTAACAATGCTGCTTTTTTAGTTGGTTTCAGAGTCAAACCTAGGTCAGCCCCTACTGAAATGCCTTTTTGCTGCTGAAAGAACGGGAAGTGATAGATGGTTATAACAGGGATGAATAAATATTTCTCATAGCTTGTGCTGGGATTTTCCATGACATACTCTTTGTTGAGGGTGCAATTCCATTCAACCTTTGTACTGAATCTTGGCAATCACATCTCAGCCTTCGTAAAGTGTGAGAGGCCTCGCAGTGGGGTGGTGGCAGGAGGCTCGTGCACACATCCAAAGGTCAGAAACAGTCCAACGTGTTGTAGGAAGAAGGACAGAGGGTGTCCTGCTGTCAGGATGCTGGAGAGAGGCTAAGCAATACTACCC